AAAATAAAACAAAACAAAAAACACAAAAAAGAAAAAAAATTAAAGCTAGAGCTGTTATTTGCAGGAGAGGAGACTTCAGGGTGTGTCAATAGCAATCAAGTTGGAGTTTATTAAGAAAAGATTTCTGGGCCGGCAATGGTGGCGCACGCCTTTAATCCCAGCACTCGGGAGGCAGAGGCAGGCGGATCTCTGTGAGTTCGAGACCAGCCTGGTCTACAGAGCTAGTTCCAGGACAGGCTCCAAAGCCACAGAGAAACCCTGTCTCGAAAAACCAAAAAGAAAAGAAAAGATTTCTGGAGCTAGAGAGATGGGTCAGTGGTTAAGAATACTAGCTGCTCTTCCAGAGGTCCTGGGTTCAATTCCCAGCACCCACGTGGCAGCCTACAACTGTGTGTAGCTCCAGTTCCAGGTGATCAACACCCTTATACAGCTATACATGTAGGCAAAACATCAATGTACGAGAAATTTTTAAAAAATCATTAAATTTTGTTTTAAAAAAAAAAGATTTCAAGTTGGGTAGTGATGACAGTTCCTCCCGTAGTGCCAGGTTTTGGCAGGCTATTCTCAGCCCTAGCATAGAAATTTATTTATTTATTTTTAATTTATTAAAGATTTCTGTCTCTTCCCTCCCTCCGCCTCCCCTCTCCCTCCCCCTCCCCCAATCAAGTCCCCCTCCCTTGTCAGCCCAAAGAGCAATCTAGCATAGAAATTTAATAGGGGAGATACAGTCCTGTATTTGGGGACTCGGCAGGGGTCAGCATCTGGAGGATAATGGATAAGCCCTGGGAAAACACCTTCGTGATCATGGTATCTCCCTTGCCAGGTAAGTATAAGTTCTTTCTTTAATTTTTTTTTTTTTTTTTCATTTTGCTTCCATGTATGTCTGGGCACCATGTGCATGAAATACCTACAGAGACCAGAAGAGGGCATCAGAGACCCTGGAACTGGAGCCACAAATAGGGTTGTTGTTGTTTTTTAATTTAATTTTATTTATTTTGACTTTTTGATTTTTCGAGACAGGGTTTCTCTGTAGCTTTGGAGCCTGTTCTGGCCCTCACTCTGTAAGCCAGGTTGGCCTCGAAATCACAGAGATTCACCTGTCTGTCTCCCTGAATGCTGGGAATAAAGGCATGCGCCACCCCCACCACCACCCCCATCCGGCATCACAAATAGTTGTGAGCTGCCAAGTGGGTTCTGGGACTTGAACCCTAGTCTTCTGGAAGAACAGTTAGTACTCTTAACTGCTGAGCCATCTTTTAGTCCCAGTTTCCATAAGTTCTACCTGGAAAACAATGAAAAGGAAAGGGCACCTTGAAGGTGCATCGATATTGTAGTTTTTCCCTAACAGTGCCTGCCATGCTTAGCGGTGAGCACAGACACAGCTGTAAGGCTTGTGGCTCAGCAGTGCAACACTGTCACCAGCCTGGGCACCAAAATTATAATGGATTTTCCTACCCATCTCTGTTTATGTCCAGGTGCCACTTGCTAGAAGTAGGTAAAGCTCTTTACCAGTACCCACATGCTTCCAGCTACCAACCACTCAGTCATCACCGATTCCCAGGTGTGCAGGAGCGCTGGGCCAGGAGGTGTCCGCCAGGCTCCATCTAGTCTGAGGCCATTTGGACGTTGGGGTCATTATCGTCTCATTATAATGATGAAAGCCACCCACTGGTTCCCTAGGAGAAATAGGAAATTGGGAAAGAATAAAGGTGGCACCTTGACCCCTGGAAATAGATCTCTTCACAAAGATGTGACAGAGTTGGTAAGATGGCTGTGCTTGTGATCACAGAGCTAGGAGGCCGAGGGTTGAGCAGTCCACACCCAGTCTGGGCTACACAGCAAAACTGTCTCAAGACAAAACAAAACTCTCAAAATATCAGCGATAGCATTCACACCACAATTCCCATAACCCAGTCCTAGTTAAAACCCAGGCTCCAAGGTCAGCCTTTCTGGCCCAGGCCTGTAATCTTAGCACTGGGCAAGGGACAGAAATAGATCACCACACATTCAAGACCAGCCTGAGCCAGTGAATTCTGGGAAAACATGGGGTGGAGAGTGAGACCCTGTCTTTACAGAGCAGCCGCTGTACGGGAATCCGTCTGGAATAACCGCTCTACCACCAATGAGAGCGGAAGAGAAATGTCCCCTGTTGACCGGAGCCAGGACAGCTCATGAGAGGCTTCGGTCCTGGGGCCAGTGTGTACACTCACTTTATACTCTAAAACCACAAGGTGGGGCAGGCAGGTTTTATTTTATCTACTTATTTATTTATTTTAAGCATCAGTGATCCATTACTTCAACTATTTCTCCAGGTCATTCTGTTTCAGGTAGCAAATGATGTCATGTTTGGCAAACCAGCAGCACAAACAGTGCTTTAAGTCAATCACTAAATAAATCACCAAATCAGTATCTAACAATTGGTCTTTTCTACTTCACCACTAACAGAGATTCAGGCCTTAGATCTGCCCTGGGAGAAGAGGATCCACTCCACGTCTCTATTCATGACCATTAAATAAAACAGACTGTCAGCCTCAGGAACTGTTTGGTTACTTGCCAGCGGTACTACTGAATAAAAGAACCTGAAATTCAGAAACAGCATCAAAGGAAGCATCGTAGCCAGGAGGCTATTCAGAAGACCTAGGCAGGAGAATTGTACAAATTCAAGGCCAGCCAGGGCTTTATAACGTCCATTTGAAAAAAATGCTTTGTTTCTATGTGGCTTAAATGCCCACAGGTACAATTAAGATTATAGGTACAACTGAGAATACATCAGGACTGATTCTCCAACAATGTCCGCATTAAAAAAAAATTATACTGTCGCAATAAATTTGAGGGCTGGAGAGATGGCTCAGCAGCTAGAAATACTAGCTGTCTAATTTCCACTGGCTCAGTTTGTGTGGGGTGTGAAAATTACTTTGGGCAAAAGATAGTCTTTAGTTTGAAACAATCTTTCTTCGTCCCAGCGAACTCTGCCTCCTTTGTTTTACCAAGTTCTCTCCCCCTTCCCCTCCCGTCCCTTCCCCTCCCCTCTCTCATTCTGTCCGCGTCTCTCTTTGTGTTTCTGTGTTTCTGTTTCTCTGTCCAGGGTCTCTCTCATAGTCCTGGTTGTGCTGGAACTCACACTGTAGACCAGGCCGGTCTCAAACTCACAGAGATCCTCCTGCCTCTGCCTCTCAAGTGCTGGGATTAAGCTCGAATTGTGTGGCTTTTTTGAAACAAGGTCTTGCAATATATTTCATGCTGGCCTGGAATTCGTAATCCTCTTGCCTCAGTTTCCCGAGCCCTGGGATTACAGGCCTGCCACAAACACCCAGCCTAGGCGTTAGTTACTTAATCTGCGCTTTACTTGTGATTTAGTTTATGACAATAAGGAAAAGCAGCGAATTGCAGATCCTACTAGTTGAGGGTAGAGAGCGTATTTGGCTAGCACTGGCAGGAGAGTGGTGAGCATCCCCACGGCTCCGCCCAGCCCCAGCGTAGAGGCGCCGCGCTCTGAGACGCTAAAGAAGCACCGGAAGTGCGCGGCCACGGTCGCCGCGCGCGCCTGCGCAGCTTGGCTGTTCCGCCTCCAGGCGGCAGTTTGCTTGCCTCTCAACGCGGGCCGGGCCGGTGTGGGTGGGTGGCTGGTCCAGAGGGCCCTGGCCGAGGTGAGGCTGCCGCGGTCCTGTCGCTTTGCAGGTGGGCACGGACAGCCGGCAGGCAGGTGCAAGGGCATCGGTCGAGTCGTGGAAAGACCTCGCCGAGCCGAGGGACTCGGCGGGTCTCGAGCTGGCTGCCTCAGCTTCTGGCCAAGGGCGCTGATGATGCTGCGACACCTGGGAGGAGGGATAGTGGAGGAGGCAGCGGTCCCAGCCAGACCGGCCACCCAGCAACGGGAAGACCGGTGGGAGGGACAAGCCGCTGGCGGCGACGCGGCTTTGGGAGGCATGGATGTGAAGGACGATGGCCTTTAGGTTTTGCCAAGAGCTGGTCCTCGCCGCCTGTTTCGTGTCCTCTCACACCCGCAACCCTGGGAGGCCTGCCGCGGTGAGGCCCAGAGCCTTTTCCAGGCTGGCCCTCTAAGGCTGAGGCGGTGCTATGCGCGCATCCTTGGTGTCGTGGTGCATGGCTGGAGCTGCCAGCTTGCACCGTGCTTGGGGCAGTTCTCAGTTTGGATAGCAGCACGGGACAGGTCACACGCTGGCTCTCACGGCTTCAGTACACCCCAGAAGGCCACTTCAGGAGCAAGGTCTGTCGTCTTCCTCTTGACCGTCTGTCCACTGCCCCAGCTGAATGGGGCCGAGTTTGTCTGTTTTCTCTTCCCGAGTGTAAGTTGGAGAGGCCTCAGGCTGGGGCTGCCTCCTGCCTGCCACGGATTCCAAGGTGGTTCACGGGCCAGATGGCTGCCAAGTCCTGCTCGGGGGCTCCGGTGAGTTTCTCTTTCTCCCTCCTGCCCTGGTCACAAGCTGTCTCCTGTAGAGCTGTGAGGCGAGCCGATAGTGAAGCTGAAAAGGACTAGGATGCAGGGATAGCCCTCTGTGTCCTATCGGCCCTTACCTGGTCCCCTGGTCGCAGCTCTGCTACCCCCATGAGAAATCAAGAAGCCACACCCTGGTGCAGCATATTGTCATTCCAGGGAGAGATGCCTCTGACCTTCCAGGATGTGGCTGTGTACTTCTCCAGGGCAGAAGGGCAGCAGCTGGGCCCCCAGGAGCGGGCGCTCTACCGGGATGTGATGTTGGAGAACTATGGGAACGTGGCCTCACTGGGTGAGAAGTGCCCTGGAGCCCTGGCTCACAGTGGGGAGTCTCTAAGGGATGTTGGGGCTGATTTGGCCCTTTGATTCCCAAAGGAAAGAGGATCCTGCTCTTGTCCCCAGGGACCAGTCTGCCTAGTTCTAGGGACGATTTTCCAATAACCTCAGAGTGTCATCCCTTTCCCTGTCTAACAATAGGAATTCTTAGGCATTTGAACTCTTTGCCCCTTGGTCTCCCCTGACCAGTGTGCCCATGCAGGCAGAATGTTCTCTATCTGGAGTGCAGGACCCAGCAGGCAGGGTCCTGCTCCAGCCCTAGAGGCGGCAGCAGCTCATCCAGGGTCCTTATCCTTAACAGGATTTCCAGTCCCTAAGCCAGAGCTGATCTCCCAGCTGGAGCAAGAGGAGGAGCTGTGGGTCCTGGATCTTCTGGGGCCTGAAGAAGCAGAAGTCTTAAGAAGTTGCCAGACAGGTGAGCTAAGCTAGAGGCTGGTCTCAGGAATGGCCTCCCAGAGCCCTGGCTTTGGTAGCTGGAGGGAGGGCTAGAAATGAAGGCAGATATGATGATGGTATGTAGTCCGCCCTCTCTAAGGGAAGACAGCGCTTGCATGCATGTGCTTGACAAGTTTTCCTTTGCCAGGCCATTTGCGAGAAGATGATGGTGGCACAAGCCTTTAATCTCAGCTTTTGGGAGGCAGAGGCAGGTGGATCGGATCTCTGTGAGTTTGGGGCCAGCTTGGTCTACAGAGCTAGTTACAGGGCTCAAAAAGAAAAAACCAAAACTAGTATTGTAGTTTCTGGTCCTAAAAGATTTGTTCTTTTACACACCTTCATGAACTTTTTTGTAGGATATACTTTCTCTTCTCTTACTTGCTCCAGGTTCTGTATCATGCTCCTTCCTCCTTCATCTCTTCCTCTTCAGCCCTCAGTGTTGGTCAGCAATACTTCCTTGTTCTTGAGACTAGGCCTTTTTGTGTTTCTCAAGTGTGTCTCAAACACTTGGCTCAAGTCATCCCTTCTGGAGCCTCGGCCTCCATAGTAGCTGGAACTAAAAGCATATACCACCACGCTTAGATCATTAACAGTTTTGTTTTGTTTTGTTTTCTGTTTTAGTTTTTCGAGACAGGGTTTCTCTGTGTAGCTTTGGAGCCTGGACCTGGAGCCTGTCCTGGAATTTGTTCTTTAGACCCAGCTTGCGCGCAACCACCACTCCTCCCGTTAGCGCTCTTTAAAATGTCCCTTAGAGATCCCTCCCTCCCTTCCCCTTGCCTGAGCCTCTCAGGTAGGAGGCTTTGAACTTGCTGTGGTAAGAAGGATGGCCTTGAAATCCTCATCCTCCTGCCTCTGCTTCTCAAGTGCTAGGATCATAGTATAGGCATGTGCAAACACACCTAGCCCTCTGAATCTTTATTTTATTGACTGTTTTCATTGTCAGCTCTAAGTATTTTGACTCTCGGCTACTGCTGGGGCTCATTCTGTTGTCTGCTCTTGTTCCTCTCTGTCCTGTTTTGTACATGTTCTGTTCCTCACTGTCAGAGTGGATCGTACTTCATCAGGCATGTCCTCACGTTTGCTGTTACTCTATTTCATAAAGTTAATCACATCAATTCTTTGCCCTTTATTAGTTGTTGGTCCTTTTCCCAAACATGAATGCATCATCATTTTTGAGTGATTTACTTAGGCTCTTTTGAACTATTTTTATTATCTCAAGTTTTTACAGATTTGAAATTGGCTGCATGAAGCCTATCTTTTCTAAAATTGGGAGCTTAGATCATTGATTTTTAATTTTTCTTTTTAAGGATGTCTAAAGCAAGGCTTTATGAAAGTACAATCTTAAATATAGTTCATGTTTTACAAATACTACTGTTGTATATGTGTTTATGTCTGTGTTGTGGTATGTGTATACTTTAGTTCAGGTGGCTGCAGAGGTCAGAGGCATCAGATCTCTAGGAGACAGGCATTGCAAGCTGCCAAATATGAGTACTGGGTACCAAACTCAGGTCCTCTGGAGATCTGTATGTGCTCTTAACTACTGATATATCTCTCTGGCCTGTCCTCGTGTGTGTGTACACGCATGTATGCATGCACACATGTGAGTGCTGGGTAATGAATTCATGCATGATATACCAATGAGCTATATCCTGAGCCCTTTTTGTGTCTTATTTTGAGACAGGGTCTTAGATGCTCATGCTGGCTTTGAGCTCACTTTATAGTCTAGACTGACTTTAAGTTTTAGGTTTGTGATCTAACCTCAGCCTCCTTAGTACCCAGGATTATAGACCTGCACCATCAGGCTTAGATACATTTCAAGAATTATCCATAGGCCTTATTAGCTTTTTTTTTTTTTAACAATTCTGTGACCCAATCACTATTTGGACAGGTAATTGGGTAATTGTTCTTTTTTTTTTTTTTTTAAATTCTATTTATTTATTTATTTTAAAGATTTATTTATTTATTATGTATACAGGGTTCTGTCTGTATGCTTGCTGGCCAGAAGAGGGCACCAGATCTCATTACAGATGGCTGTGAGCCACCAAGTGGTTGCTGGGAATTGAACTCAGGACCTCTGGAAGAGCAGTCAGTGCTCTTAACCTCTGAGCCATCTCTCCAGCCCTATCTTACTGTTCTTAGTTTATTGTGTAATTCCACTGTGGTCAAGGAGCATAACTCTGTATGGTTTCATTCTTATATTTGCTAGATGTCTTAGGACTTCCAGGCCTCTTGGTAAGCATACTCTGTGTAGTAGTAACTCTTCCGTACCTGTGATCACCTGGCAAAAAGCTACTTAGAAGAGAAAGGGATTTGTTTAGTTTGGCTTGGAGTTCAGAGGTGCGGGGAGAGTCATGGCAGCAGGAGGTGAGGCCAGCCTGGCAGTCGGGACACAGCCTGATCATATTTCATCTACAAAAGGAAGTGGTAAAAAGAACCATGGATGGGGACGGAAGTCTTTCAGCAAGGCACCATAGCCTCCAAACGCCCAAAGAGTACCACTAGCTAGGGACCAAGTATTCAGATACATCAGCCTGTGGGAGACATTTCTCATTGAAATCATGATATCCATGTAAAAGGAGATGGGAATTGTTGGTGTTCTGTAGTTACAGGATTGTGCGATGTCATTTCAGTTGAATGTTTTCCCCAGGGTGTCTTGTTTTTTTTTTTTTTTTTTTTTGGTTGTTTACTTGTTTATTTTTTTCAGTTGCTAAGAATATCCAAGGATGTAAAGTTTACTTTCCCTTGGATTTATTCAGTGTCTGTTATTGATTTGTTCTCATTTATGAGATAAGAGATACATTTTAGGTGCTACGAGCATAGCAGCTCCCCCCTTCTTTCTGTTTCTGTTAGCATGGAGTATCTTTTCCATCTAGTTAATTTCACTTTATATTTAAAGTATCTGTCTTCCAGATAGCACACAGTTGGGTCCCATTTTCTATCCATTTTATCTTTTAATTTTTGTGTTCATCTTTAACTCTTTTCTTGCTTCCATCCCTTCCTCTCCTTTTATGCTCCAGTGTTGGGGATAGAACCTAGAGACTCTCTCATGCTAGGCAAGCACTCTACCACTGAGCTGCACCCCTCACCATAGTGCGGTATTTAGTAGATAATAACTTTGCTGTTGTTGTTGTTACTTTCTTGGGGTTTTGTTCTGTTTTTTAGTTTGTTTTCTATTTTGACTTGAGCCAGGGTCTCTCTATGTAGCCCTAGCTGTCCTAGAACTCACCATGTGGACCAAACTGGCCTTGAACTCACAGAGATCCACCTATGTCTGCTTCCCAAGTGCACCACGACACCTGACTTCTTGTTTTTGTTTTGACACAGGCTCTCATGCAGCCTAGGAGGGCTTCAGACTTACTGTGCATTTGAATCTGGCCTTAACCTCCTGATCCTTCTATCTACACCTCCCAAGTTCTGGACTTAACCACCATGCCTCTAGGTTTTGCACTTATTTCCTTTTTGAATATTTCTTATTTCTCTGTTCCCTTTTCTTTTATAGCATCCTACCATCCTTTATTTTAGCCATAAAGAATATATATGTGGGTGCGTGTGTATACATACACAACTTTAAATTTCATCATACAGTATTATAAAGGACCCAACACTGCTACCCTCCAGAGAAACAATTTGCCCACTGCCTTGCTGAACCAAGGAAGGAGAATCCCAGTGCCCTCTAGTTAGTCTGTCTGTGGAGCACAGCTCACAGAAAGTGAGGTCTGCCTGTGCTGTGGTCCTTTCCCCTCCCCTGGTCCTGAGCATATCGCTGGGACCTGCTCACTGCTGCTCTTTCACTCACATCTGATTGCCTTGCAACAGAAACTGGAAGGCAGGAAAATATTCTTCCTTTTGAGACACTCGTATTCAGGTCAGCTTGGCCTCTCTCATAGTTCCTGCTTCAGACTCCTGGGATCGCAGGTGGACACCACTCCACGTGACTCAACAATAGATGGTCCAAAGGCAATCTCAGAAATTTTAAAATACTTTGCACTAAGTTAAAATTCTACTTGCCAACATTTGTGGAATGCGATGAGAGCAGTGCTTTCTATAGAAATTGATGTAGTAAATGTGTAGTTCTTTGTATAAAAAAGATGAGAGTTTTATGTGGCTTTAACCAGCTGAAGTAGAACTGAGTAGACTTGGGGGAGGAGGTGATAAACAATTTAAGACAAAAACAGGAGTATTCCAGAAAGATCTCGTGGCCATGTCTCTCTGATCCACAGTTTGCTTTTCTATAGTTTCTCTTTGGAGGGGACCTGGGGGCAGTCAGTGGGCGTTGCATTGGCGAGGCTAAGTCCTTCACTGTTTTGGGGCAGGCAGATGTGTAATCCCAGGTGGTTTTACCTCTGTAGGGGCTTTCTTCCATTCTTCTTCCATCCTTTTGTTCCCTGCTCAGTTAACTGATCCCTTTTCTAGAAACCATGTTAACTTGAACTCCACTCATTCTTGTGTTGGAGTTTAAAAGGTCCCAAATGGATTTCTGTGAGATTTGATCTTCTCGCCTGCTTTATTCAGCCTTTCCCGTCTGTGGGAGACCATGTGATCCCGAGTAATGGCAAAGGCACTACTGACCTTCCTCCAGTTACAGGGTGGGTTCCCCTCAGATTTGAAGCACTTTTCTGTTTTGCGTTAAGCTCTTCGTTCACTAATCCGGGATATAGTTAGCAAAGATGATTACGTTACCAAGGCTTTGCCAGGAATGTTGTGTTTTCAGATATGACCAGCCTACTTTAAAAAACTTTATGAAGCAAAGAATAAATGCTCTTTGGTGAACTTTGTATTAGGTAATGTTGGTAGTATTGTCTTAGGTAGATATGGTTATATCCAGAGCCAAGACTCTAGCAGCTTCATCTTCCTATAAACAGGGACCAGAGATTTCCTTCATTTGGAAAATATGGGAGGGGGTTGGAAACCTCAAAAGGCATAACGTGGGCAGCCAGTACTCTTGGAGCCTGAGGAGAGTGGCACCTCTGATTGGGGACC